CACAAAATAGCTTGATAACTTCTCAAGATGGGCCCGAAAAGGGGTGGAAAGCTGGCTTGGGGAAGCAAAAGCTGGGGGGGAAATAGGCTAGGGCTGGACTGGGCTGGGTTTTTCTGTTTCCCCCAACCCCAGACTGGGTTTGCTGGCTTACTTTGGGAAAAATCGGGTCTAACCCCCCCGGGAAATGATGCAAAAAAAGCAAATAAACACTAATACAAAAAGGAGACCTTTAATAATTTTAATGGCTGGGAAAAAAGTTAAGAGAGTAAACGGGCCCTTTGGGTAGGGGGTTGGGCCCCCCACTGGGGACCCCGAAATGGCCGGGGCTTTTTTGGTTTGAAAGAAATTTTCCATACTCGGCGGGAAATTATCAAAATTTTAAAGAAAAACCAACCCAACCGGGTGTAACCCCCAAGCGTAGGGGTTTTAAAAGGGAAAAATTTAATTTAAATAAATTTGTTGGGGGGTAAAACCCATAATTGTAGAAAATGTTTTTAAAAGGGGAGAAAAGGGTCCCCAAGCCCCGCCCCGGCCCCCCCCCCCCTTTTACCCCCCCCCACTGAGAGGGGGGGCAGGGGGTACAACCCTACACATGCCAACCTTTAAAGCACACAAACAGTCACTCCCGGGCCCAAAAAAGGGATTTTTCTATATTTTTTGCACTGGATGGAAAATATGATACGCTTTTCAACCCCATATAAGGGGGGTCGGGAACCCATGGGTGACACCCTGGAATTTGGGCCAATTTAAAACCCACCCAGTCTCTCATCCCCACTCAAGGATTGGGGCACTGTTCAGACCCAGCAGCAAAAAAACTAGTCAGGTCCCAAAAAACCCCCCCACCCACCCCACACCCCCTCATGTATTTTCTAGCCTATTTTTAAAACTACACAATGTTTTGCCTCAATTTAAATGTAAACCGGGAGTTGTTCCATTTCAAACCACAAATCTATTACCAAAACCAGTGCTTTCCTATTTTTTTCCCTTTTTTCCCGAATCTGAATTTTTCCCCAAATTGAAACCATTTTGCTTTCGAGTCCCTGTCTTGGTGGAAATTTTCAGCACCAAATGTTTAAAAAATCCCCTTTATTTATTCCTTGTTTTCCCCTTTATTTCACCCCGATTTATATCCCCCCTAAATTTTACAAACCCTTTTTTGAGAGGGGTGCCCCGATTCCCGGGCCCCAGTCTAATTTCCCCATAGGGAAAGGGTTTCTGATACATGGGATCTTCTTTGTCAAACCTCCCTTTTTAAAAGTTTTTTCCCGAAACATTTACATCCATTTTTTGTAAAACGGTGACCAGGGAAATGGGCAGCATAGGCTAAAAAAGACCCCCCCCCCTAACCCAAAAGGGTATAAAAGAGTTGAAGGGAACAACCTGAGGACCCTTTTATTATTTTTTTTTCTAGATATAAAACCAAAAATTTTGTTTTTTTTAAATTTTGAACACTAAATTTTCACTTTTTGTCCCTTTGGGTTTTTGATTACTGCATAGCCAAAACCCCCCTAAATCCTTTTTTCCTTTACAATCGGGGAGTATTAAGACTACATTTTTTTAGTTTATATGTGGCATGGGTTTTTTTAAATGTTCCCAAATTTTTAAAAAATTTTCATTTGTCAAAATTAAACTGCATCGGGGCCCCTTCTCCCACCTTTGCGTCCCGGGCTATTCAAAAAACATCCTGGAGTGCTCTAATTTTCCTCATTTTGAATGAAATTTGGGGGCCTATTTTGGTTTTTCATCAGCCCAAAATTTTCTTATGTCGCTATTTATTTCCCCCAAACTATGTCGTTTTTTGTAAATGTGAACAAAAAACGGGCCCAAAAACTTCCCCCGGACACCGCTTTGACTGCCTCAAATTTTGATTTCTCCCCATTTATGCCCAAAATCTCTGTTTCTATTTGTCAGCCTGCCCCTAAACCCCGGAAAAAAAAATTTTTCCTCCTATTCCGGGGTGCCCTTAAATTTCCTCAAAAGCCTCTGGTGTGGAACTCTATCGAAAGCCTTACTGAAGTCCATATACACAATATCATATTCATTACCATGATCTACCTCCTCAAACACCTTAGTGAAAAAAGTTAGTAAATTCGTAAGATAGGAACGCCCCTTTGTAAAACCGTGTTGAGAATCATTAATCAATCTGTGCCTGTCAAGATGGCTACGAATTGTTTCGGCAATTATTGATTCCATAAATTTTCCCACTATGGAGGTAAGGCTTATTGGTCTATAGTTCGAAGCCAAGGACCTGTCACCTGCCTTGTAAATAGGTATTACATTTGCCATTTTCCACTTATCAGGCACTATGCCAGTTTGTAGTGATATGTTAAAAAGATTATTAGCCAAAGGTATGCTAAGTTCCTCTTTACATTCCTTTAACACCCTTGCAAACAGCTCATCAGGACCTGGGGATTTGTTAGATTTTAGTTTCTCTATTTGTCTGAGGACCATGTCACTAGTTACCGCAATCGTACATAGTTTATTATCATACTGTTCTACGTAATCTATTATTTCAGGAATATCGCTAGTATTTTCCTGGGTGAAAACTGAGAGGAAGTAGTTATTTAGAATTTCACACATATCCTTATCATTGTCAGTGATCTGACCAGAGTTACTCTTAAGTGGGCCAATCTTGTCCCTAATTTTACTTCTGTATACCTGAAAGAACCCTTTTGGGTTAGTCTTTGAATCCATTGCGACCTTAGCCTCATAATCCCTTTTTGCTTTATATATATATATATATATATATATATATATATATATATTTATATATATATATATATATATATATATATAGTATATATATATATATATATAATTTATATATATATATATATCGTGCCTAATAGGTAAAACTAGTCAATTAGCAAGAACTCATTTAAAATTAAGTCCTTTCTAAAATTTTCTCTTTTATGTTCCAAAAAAAATTATTTTTCATTAATGTTAATGTAAAAGTTTATAATTTTGCACCAAAAGAATCTTAGAAAACTTACCTAACTTTATTATAGCAAGCAAAATTTATTTTAGCCTTATCCAACTAAATATATTTTAGATACATTTACAATAATTTAATGCTAAACAAACACAATGAAATATATTTTTTGCGTTAGGTTTAGAATGATTTTTGCGAAATTATTGCATACACAAATTTTCGCTTGTCTTATATGACAAGATGAGCCTTGCTATTTAAGGCGTCATTAGTTTTCGCCCACCATGAGACAGGCCAAAGCAGCATGGGTTCGAGTGCTTGGCTAGTCGCACTGTTGTTGCAGAGGTTGGCGGATGAATTTGGTAGGGTATGTAAAAGGAGAAAATTAAAATTGAATATAGGACAGAGTAAGGTGATGAAGATAACAAAAAGATTAGGTGACGAAAGACTGGATATCAGATTGGAGAGAGAGAGTATGAAGGAGGTGAATGTATTCAGATATTTAGTAGTGGACGTGTCAGCAGATGGAACTATGAAGGATGAGGTAAATCATAGAACTGATGAGGGGAAAAGGGTGAGTTGTGCACTGAGGAGTCTGTGGAGACAAAGAACTTTGTCCGTGAAAGCTAAGAGGGGAATGTATGAGAGCATAGTTGTACCAACACACTTGTATGGGTGTGAAGCATGGGTGATGAATGTTGCAACGAGGAGGAGGCTGGAGGCAGTGGATATGACATGTTTAAGGGCAGTGTGTGGTGTGAATATAATGCAGAGAATATGTAGTTTGGAAATTAGGAGTAGGTGTGGGATTATCAAAACTATTATCTGGAGGGCTGAGGAGGGGTTGTTGAGGTGGTTAGGACATGTGGAGAGAATGGAACAAAACAGAATGACTTCGAGAGTGAATAAATCTGTAGTGGAGGGAAGGGGGGTAGGGGTCGACCTAGGAATGGTTAGAGGGAGGGGGTAAAGGAGGTTTTGTGTGCGAGGGGCTTGGACTTCCAGCAAGCATGCGTGAGCTTATTTGATAAGAGTGAATGGAGACAAATGGTTTTTAATACTTGACGTATTGTTGGAGTGTGAGCAAAGTAACATTTATGAAGTGATTCAGGGAAACCGGCAGGCCGGACTTGAGTCCTGGAGATGGGAAGTACAGTGTCTACACTCTGAAGGCGAGGTGTTAATGTTACAGTTTTATAACTGTAGTGTAAAGCACCCTTCTGGAAAGACAGTGATGGAGTGAATGATGGTGAAAGTTTTTCTTTTACGGGCCACCCTTCTGGATGAGATTTTCGCATTATAATCAGTGACAAACATGTAACAGTATGTACTAGACATGTGTCTCTCACATCTCATGTATGCCATCTTTCTATCAAAGATGTATCTCTTAAACCTTTTGTACCATAATTATGTAATAAAATGTACATATATATATATATATATATATATATATATATATATATATATTTTATATATATATATATATATGTATATATATATATATATATATATATATATATATTATATATATATATATATATAATATATATATATATATATGTGTGTATATATATATATATAATATATATATATATATATATATATTATATATATATAATATATATATACATATATATATATATATATACACACACATATATATATATTATATATATATATATTATATATATATATATAATATATATATATATATATATATATATATATATATTATATATTATATATGCAAAACAACACTGTGAAAGAGTAGTGAAATTCCAAGCGCTTTCGTGACTACTCACATTGTTAAGGAACTTGGAATTTCACTACTCTTTCACAGTGGTTGTTTTGCATATTTTAAAATCACCTGTTTACTGTGATCTTATTGCATATATATATATAAAATATATATATATATATATATATATATATATATATATATATATATATATATATATATATATATATAATATATATATATATATAATCCTACTTGGAACTCAATATAGGGAGAAATGAAAGTGGTAATGTAAGTGTTTAGCAGATTTAAAATACTTGTGTTATGTTTCAGGTTGAACAAGAGTCACCGAGCAGCCCAGGATGCAGAGTACCCGGCCTACGGAGTGACGGGACCTAACAAGGACCTTTCCCCCTCAGAAGACCGTAAACTGGCCCAGTCCGCACACATGTACCATTACCAGCACCAAAAGCAGCAGATGATTGCTCTCGAGAAGTAAGGCCGCTCACTGTTCTTGTCAGTTCAGCTTAAGTTGTGCGGCATGATAAGTATACTATCCCTATTTGACACATGTATTGGTAGACATTAGGACGGCTTGGGCTCAGCCCATGTTCGGGGAACCAGTATAACACTGTGTAAAAGTACATTATTATTATAATCATGGGGAAGCGCTAAACCCCTAGGATTGTACAGTTCATGTGGGGGGAGGGATGGAAGGCATCCAGGCTCAATTCAGGGAACTGGAGCACAGATCCAATTCCCTAGATCAAGAGTCCCTCACCAGCATCAAGGAACCTCTCTTGAGGGGTGTAAAAGTACAGAGCCTTGACCCACACCAGTATGCTGAGGTCAGTGGTCATGAAAGATCATCCTGTCCTAGCTGTCTGGGAGATTAGTGTGGAGCATTATATGGCACCATGGCTTGCTGTAATTGTTGCAACCCCTGAATGGGTTGCAATGATTATGTATATATGTAATTATTACCTTTTCATATAATTTTATATTGCTTATATTTGCGATAATAGCTAAATCGTAAATGTATTGCTTTATATTGTTATTTGACTTAGCTTCCTTTGGTTAGGTAGGATGTAACATATTATGTGCTCAGTTCAAGTCTTGATTGTCTAACTACTGTAATTATCGCTTGTGGCGCGTTAGACTGCCGGCTTCTGTTTCTGAGCTGCAGCTCTCCACGGAGCTATCACGTGATCGAGGGGGGGTGTCCTCACCTCGCCTGAAGTATTCAGTCTGGTCTAGACTCGCTTAGTGGTTGGACAGTTTGTCTGTCTCATTCTTGTTAGTTCTGTAGAACTCTGTTCACAGAACATTGTATAGACTTAGTGATTTTCGACGTTGTACTGAGGTTGTGTGTCGCTTAGACACTCTGAGCAACTCAGGTCCTGAGCTGTAGCTTCTGACCTAACTTGTATTGGTATCTGTGTATTGTCACAGTCGGGGATTTTCTTATGCTGAACTTAGATTCAGTAGTATGGGAGTTTTGTGACTTTTGTGGAGGATCTGCTGAGGGTCCCTACTTAGAGTCGTTATATTATCTCCTTGTCCTGATTGTGTCGCAGTTGCTTGTTGTATTGCTATTGGGCTTAGCATTCTTTTATGTTCAAGCAGACTATTCTGGTTGCCAGTCGGTCAAGAAGTTAGTTTATTTGAGAACTTTGTCAGTCACTTGTTTAAGTCTAGTCGAGTCTTGAGACATAGCGAACTACTTAGAGCACTTACACACATACACAAACTTACTTGTACATATTTGTAATATCTTATTAAATGTTAATGTACCAGACGGTACTTAAGAATTATAAATGTGATATGTGCTTTCAGCACAATACTATTGTATACGAGAGAAGTGATTATTATTATTTTGATTATTATTAATTTAATTTACCTTGATAATATACCTCTAGACGATGCTCAATAAATTTATTAAATTTTATTTTCTCTAGTTAGTAACCTACCAGTTGTAATCCTAAAGCACTAATAATTCATACTGAATTCTAATGGATAATTGGACAAGGATACTGACTAATTGTTACGAAAACCCAGTAACAGGCTGGATGCTAGAAGGGCAGTCCTTTCTAGTATTCACAGGAGATCTCTAAGCATTTAGAATCGCGTTTTTTGTAACAGTAATGTTTTGGAATCTCGGGTTAAAGTGTTGGAGGAGTAGGTTCTGCTTCTCCAAGAGGAAAATAGGAGGCTGAAAATTCGCCTAGATGGATTTGGGAGGGAGTGAGTTTGTGAAGGGTGGAGCCGGAGTGGAGGAAGAGGTTACCAACAGGGAGTTGAAGGGTGGCAACCGCTTCAGGTGGAATGTAGTCTCTACTAAAGGTAATAGAGAAGATATGAAGGTAGCAATTCGATTCTCTGTTCTCCAGAATGAGTGTACTTCAGTGGTTAGCGAGGTTAAAGGTACTACTAACTCCCCTGTTAATCAAGGTAAGAACATTCTGGTTGTGGGTGACTCACAGGTAAGACATATGGACAATGCTTTCGGTAACAGAGATAAGAACGTTAGACAGTATGCTTCCCAGGAGCTGGTGTTGATGACGTTGTCAACAGGTTGGATAATATTTTGTCAGGTAATGGGAACAAACCCATCATCTGTCTTAGCGCTGGTGGAAATTATATTGGGAAGGGCAGGAGACAAGAGCTGCTGGATAAGTACAAGTCAGCCACAGATATATTTATGTCTAGGGGAGGGGTCCCAATCATATGTAGCATCTTTCCTAGAAGGGAAGTGGGCATTGCATGGATGTCTAGGTCAGTTGGTGTAAATTGCTGGATAGACAGATGCTGCAAGGAATTTGCAATCCCATTCATTGATAACTGGGACAGATTTTATGGCAAACGTGATATGTATGCAAGGGATGGGGTACATGTCTCAGGGGCCAGAGTGGTTGCATTAGCCAACTCGATTGAGGGGGCCATTTCTGACTTGCCTAGGGATTTACACTGATAGATTATAAATGTATGGGTGTGTGTGGGAAACAAACAAGCTGCAGTACAAGGGTTGAAAACAGCAGATATTACCAGGATACCTCAGGGATATGTTTCATAGACAATATTCAAAATAAAGTTGTTTGTAAAGGCAAAGCAATTAATCAACAAAAAGTGACAGTAGAGGGCAGAGAGTAGCTAGCTCTTTTAAGGTTTACTGCACTAATAGTAGGAGTCTAAGAAATAAGATAGATGAGCTAAGATTACTTGCATGTGCAGGTAATATAGATATTATTGCTATAACTAAGACCTGGTTCAACTTGAAGGATAGAGAAATGCCTTCTGAATGCCACATACAAGGCTATAAACTATTCCACACTGATAGGGTCAACAGGAAGGTTGGTTGAGTGGCATTGTATGTCAGAGCTAATTTAAATTGTTGTGTTAGACAAGATTAGAAGCATCAGACACAGAATCTGTTAGGCTACAGTTTGTCGAGGGGTAGAAGTGACAAATTGATTTTGGGTGTGATTTATAGGCCCTCAAATCTTGATAGGGAGTACAGTAAGCTGCTTTGGGACGAAAATTCATAAGGCGTCTAGACATGAAAATGGCATGTTAATGGGAGATTTTAACTTTAGACAAATTGATTGGAACAATATGACAGGAAATATTAATAAAATAATAATAATATCTTTATTTCTACAAGTACATGTACAAGGTATATGGGACTAGCTGACATCAATAACTTACTACTATATAGAAAGCTGCTTGTTATACAGAGCATTTTGGGCAAATTAGGTCAGTTTTGTCCCAGGATGCGACCCACAACAGTCGACTAACACCCAGGTACCCATTTTATACTGATGGGTGAACATGGACAGCAGGTGTCTTATGGAAACACGTTCCTAGTGTTTTCCAGCTAAAGCAGGGATAAATTAGACATATGTGCAACTCTTGGGTATCTTTACTGAGGAAACGTTTTGCCACACAGTGGCTTCATCAGTCCATACAAAGGAGAAACTTGAAGAACAGGAGGATAATGAGGTAATCAGTCCCTCAACCTTGAGTCGATGTGGTTAGTCCATCATTCTTGAATAGAATACGGCATATGAGCGGGGAAGCAGCTTATAAACCGTAGGCAGGAGAGGTGCAGCAGTCGTAGGTGGTGTCACATTTGTCCAATGTGGAAGTAGGTCGTGCCCAAGGCAAGCGAAGAATTCCCAAGTATTAAGATCCCAAGAAATTGCAGTGTCTGACAGGATTGTAGATGAATGGTTCAGAGAACCGACACGTTGATAAATTAGACACATGTGCAACTCTTGGGTATCTTTACTGAGGAAACGTTTCGCCACACAGTGGCTTCATCAGTCCATACAAAGGAGAAACTTGAAGAACAGGAGGAGAATGAGGTAATCCTCAATAAAGATACCCAAGAGTTGCACATGTGTCTAATTTATCAACGTGTCGGTTCTCTGAACCATTCATCTATAAACCAGGGATTCAAACTCCGGACCTCAGTGTGTGAGCTGAGTGCGCTAGCGATCGGGCTATGAGACTTTCTTGATACGATTCAGGATTGCTTTTTAAAACAGTTTGTGACAGAACCAATTAGAGGAAACAATCTACTTGACTTGGTTCTTGCCAACAAGGATCACTAGTTAATAATCTTGAGGTTAATGATGAGCTTAGGGTAAACAATCACAAATCACTTAGTTTCAGTATATCATGAAATTGCCCAAATAGCTGCAATCAAGTCTCTGACCCAGATTTCCACTTGGCCGATTTCAAAGGACTGAGAAATTACCTGGGTGGCTAAATTGGAACGATCTGACTATGGGTCATGTAGGTGGTGTTGGTTGCCAATATGACTGTTTTTCAGAGCATAGTTCTAGCTGCCCAGACGACTTATGTTCCAAACAGGGGAATTAGATTAACCAAAAATGATTCCAAATGGATAAACAATAGATTAAAACATCTCATTGGTCAAAAGAGAGGCATACATAGGCGTATCATAAGAGGGGATGGGCAGTTAAGAAATTAATATATTCACTTAAAGAGAAATAAAAAAAGGAATAAGAAAAGCTAAAAGAGATTATGAGGCTAGAGTGGCAAGGGATTCGAAGACTAACCCAAAAGGTTTCTTTCAGGTATATAGAAGTAAGATTAGGGACAAGATAGACCCACTCAAAAGTAGCTCAGGTCAGATCACTGACAGTGATAAGGAAATGTGTGAAATTTTTAACCCTTATTTCCTCTCAGCTTTTACACAAGAAGATACTAGTGAAATTCCAGAAATAATAAATTATGTAGAACAGGAATGATAATAAACTATGCACGATTAGGGTAACTAGTAACATGGTCCTCAGACAAATAAATAAATTAAAACTGGACAAATCCCCAGGCCCTGATGAACTGTTTGCAAGGGTTTTAAAGGAATGTAAAGAGTAGCTTAGCAAAACCTTTGGCTAATCTTTTCAACATATCACTACAAACTGGCATAGTGCCTGACAAGTGGAAAATTACAAATGCAATACCTATTT